GCTGTAGAGGGAAACGCGCCTCAAGTGAGGCGGGAGTTGAGTGTGGGGTGAGGGGCCGGTGCGAGGCCTGCGTGTGCCGTGTGCCGTGTGCCGTGTGCCGGAGCGGGCGGGAGCGGTGCAAGGCGCAGCGCTGCTCTCCAGTCAGTGCTGTTCCAGGGGAGGATACCCTGCGAGGTGTTACCTCACGGTCACAGCGGGGAGTTTGGGCTGAAAGGAGGTGGTGCGCGTCTCTGAGAAGCTTTTGGAGGAAGATACTTCGTTGGGAAAGGCAGTTGTTTCTCTCGGGTAGACCCGAATGGCACAAACCTGTCTAAAATGGAGGCCAGAAACAGACACGCGGAGTAAGAAAATGCTGAGGGTTGTATTCGCTTGTGGGAATTGTGCTTGCGCCTTGCAGGAACAGTCTCTGGTTAACTGTGGTGACGACTGTTAGCGTGTTCTTGGTTTAATTTATCTGTATACTCTATGAAGAATTAAAAAAATATATAAAAAATCTTAGCAACGAAGAAGATTCTTCCAAAGGATTTTCTTTGCCTAAATAAGAAAAGTCATGGGTTCTATGCCAGTTCTGTTTCACTTTTTTTTCCTAATTAAAAAAAAGGTGGGGGGAGGAAGAAGTAATTCGGTAGGTATTGCCTGGCTCTTGTTTTCAAGCAAGCGTGCTGAATGGTAATCCTCTTTTACTTGCTCCTCCCCTCCAGTAAAGTTACATGCGGAATTCTTCAGAGGTTTTTTGTCTTATTAAACTCAATCTGATAGCGTTTTTCCAAGGTGGTGTGATGAGTACGAAAGATTTTCCCAGGGCAGAGAGCTTTGTATTGTGAAGTAGAAGGTGCAGGGTGACAGGCGTATGAAATCCAGAATGACAGTAAAGACCAGGTGTTTGAATCCTAGATGCTGGATTATAGCCAGCTGTGCTACATCACCCCCAAATTTCCATGTTGCACCATTTGGCTACCCAAATTAAGTTGCTTCTGGTTAACAGCAGCTCTTAAATTCTCTTAATCGATCATTCTCTGAGATTTCTTAATGTCTGTGTTCTGAAGACTGTATTCCTCCTGCCTCTGCAGACCTCCTGACAGCTCCTCGTGCCTTCTCCGTCCTTTTCAGCTGTTCTGCGTGCTGGAGGCGTTTTTTTTTCCTGTACGTACCACACAGCTTTGGAGAATTACCCAGAGGAATTGGATTCATAGCAATAATTCAGCAGGATGAGCTTTAGGAAACTTCCTTGTGTTCTCACCTTTCTGGGGTATATCTGAAGCGTGTCTCTGAATGGTTCATTTCTGTTTTACTTAGTTTCTGTCTTTTTTTCCATGCGGCTTCTCTGTTTCTGGTTTTTTCCCTTCCCCTGGCCTTGCTGGGAACGAAATTAATAAGAATGATTTACGAAAGACACACAGAGAAAATGTATTCTGAAAGAAGATCCACAGACATAGTTCTTTTGATAGGCGGGGGAGAGATCTGGATCGTACTGCTGGCTATATTTAGGATGGAGCACAGGATATCCCTTCTGCAGACAGCAGAGTCGCATTAGGTACGCAGGGAAACACGGTGTAATAAAACACCTTGCGGAGGAACGGTGCGGTGCTGAGAAGAGCTGTTGGCCAATGCTCGGGAGATGGCTTGGCGAGTCTCACACGTAGCAGGGTCACGGGAGGACTGAGAATTTAGATACCAGAGTTTGCCAGAAACAAAATCTTCGGAGGCCGCAAAGGTGTTACCTGGTAGCTTACTCAAAAGGGAAATAATTCATAGGCTGTTGATGTTTCTGTTCTGCGGTAGAAGAACAGTTCCATTTTTACCTGACCTGCATCACCTGTGTTAAAAATAGGACTCTGTCCTGTTTTGGTCAATTTTGCGTACTGGGAAGGTAACATCTCTGAACTAGACTAGCGGAACTGAGCTAACAAGAAAGGTATCTACATGGTGGCGACCTTTTTTCCTAACAGGTGTCCTCCTGGCTTTTCTCTTTGCAGTGCCTACTTGGAGGATGAGGGAGAATGTATATGTTTATGCAGACACATGCATTCAAAGGCATAAGAATATAGCTGCCACGTTAATTCAGGTGAGTGATTTCCAACTGTCCTGAGGAGCCTCTCGCTGCCACGGTGAAACTGAGCTGAGGAAGTTGCGTTCCTGCCAGCTCCCATGACAAATGAGGAGATTGATTGTTCGCTCGAGTGGTGACTCACTTTCGTCAAGCCAAATACTGCTTAGAAAGTTGCTACCAAGTTAAAACTGTAATTAGTCTTAATTGTCCATCGAATCATTAGCTCACTGAGAACATTATACCTGGAAAAAACACTTGGTTTCTAAGCCCTGTGCAATTTAAATGGAATCCCAAGTGCTTCAGAGACTTCAGTCAGAAGGAATCAGAGCTGACAGCACTTTTTTTTTAATAAAAGAAGCTTTAATTGGCTGTTAAGTTAAAGCTTTGAAGTTTTGATAGGAGAAGTGTTATAGGTTAAGTTAATAGGGAAAATGGAGAAACAATTAGGGCAGCTTTAAATTAATTACTTACACTATTTATTTTGAGCTTATTGAACAATTGTGATGTATGCGTAAGTGATTGAAATTAGCCATCTGTGCAAGATAGCTTTGACCTAAATTGACCTTCTTGGGTAAGTAAGTAGCTTGCCCTAATTCCTGTACTGTATCCCGAATTTTACTGGCAGATAAGCTTAACTGGGAGTAAAGATGAATGTGCCTGTGAGGTTCCCTACTTTTCTGCTGGAACTAAAATCACCTGTGCAGACAAAGGTAGGGAATGCTTTCAAAGAGGCGGCTGAGGGGATCACAGATGCGCCAGACTGTTTCTTGTTAACCCTAAATGCGTGCTGCTGAGTTCCATTCTCCTGTTGTCAGCAGTGTACCTGTACAATGCCCTCTTGAGGCGCATGAGGTATAACCCCGTAACCTCTGTTTTGCCTGCTGTTTGGGGAAAACCTAGGAAAGGTTTAAATTGACAAATAAACAGCCAGTTTATTTGTACTGCGTGGTATCTGCTCTGTAGTACCGACAGGATCTTTTTATGCCCTGCTCCATTCTGCTGTGTTTTTTCGAGGAGCAACAGGGGGCAAATGACTTGTAAGAAGAATTATCCAAACACAATCTCTCTAATGCTTATTACAAGATGGGAGGGGGGGAAAAAAAAAGTGATTCAATTTTGAAACTGAAAGGCTGAAAATATTCTTCGTGCTGATTTTTGCGGCGTTGAAACAATTCTTTTTTTCCCCCGGTTTCCTTATTTCTAGCAGGCCTGTCCCAGCACTGCTGCAGCTGGACAAGAGGAGGCTCTGCAGGGCGGGTGGGTGATAAGAGGATCCCAGGCGGCTGTGGGGGTGAGTGACTCCCCAAAGGCAGGGGCATGCCTCTCCTGCGAGCGCCCTGTCCCCGAGCTCATGCTTGGCTCTCCCTCCAGGTGTCAGTCTGGCACTGCGCTATGGCCCGGCGTCCCGCCGCCGAGGAGCCGGGTGTCCTCGCCAGCTCCAGGAGGTGCCTCTTCCTCCACTCGGGAATTGACAAAGAACCGACACGGTGACGTGGGTTCTCATCCCGGCAGTGCCGTGTCTTGTGCACGTCGGGTCAGTGCCAGTATTCCTGAAAAGGCTGTGGCTCGGGGTTTCCCCCTCTTCTAGTGTGTCCAGCAAAACACCTCCTCCTGATATTTGTTGGGGGTGGTTCTGGCTTTTCATGTTTGTTGCGACCAAAGAAATGTGAGGTGCCTCGGGACTCCTTTTCCTGCTGTTGGATTTTGCTGGCGTGGGACAATTTGGCTTGGTCCGAGTTTTCCGGAAAAGGCAATTTAGTGCCCAGGGATAAAATCTGTCATTAGTTGGACCTTAGTTGAGAAAATGTGTTTGGGCCTGTTTGTTGACGGTATTGGTGTCCTTTGCGTCACGCTTACAGCTGTGTCGGTGTGTAGCTCGCTTTTTCTTTGCCTGTGATTAAAAACAACTGTATTTTTCCCTGGGGACGGGAAGAAGGAGTTAAATTTCAGAATACTGCGTTCAGGAGTATGTTTCAATGCAAAGCCTGCGAATATAATAGAGGTGCAGGTTTATGACCATAGAGACCATGTATTTATTTATGCGCATAAAGCACTTGTGGTTCTGTATCAACGTGCAAAGAACACTTTCAAAGGGCCGTGTATAGAATACATGTTTAGTGACAGCTACATCAAGAGATTAGAGTTTTGTAAAGCCCCTTGTCATGTAAAACAAATAGATCTGGTCTCATCCTTTTTTGGACGTAAGCAAAGCATCTGTGAAATTAACTATTGGACCTTGATATGTGGTAGAGTTCAATATAAGAAAACAAGGTTCGTGGCTTTGTGGAAGTCTGAGTCTCTGAAGGAGCGCGTGTGTGTAAGAACAGAAATCCTGGGACACCTCCGATCAACAAACTCTCTTCATGAGAGAGCATTAGCAACGCGAGTATCTTGTGTTTGATAATTACAGTGCCCTTAATACCAAGCAAGCTTGATTGCAAGGTCCTCTTCCCTGAAGATACATCTTTCTTCCGTGCAGTGTCCCCGCTAGGATTTT